ACCATCTTTCACTAGGAGCCTCCTGCCTGTCTGCATTTCCATCCAGCTGGAAACAGGAGTACGTGATCCATAGCAGTTGGGTCTAGGTTCCACTCCCTGTTGCTGCTTCCCTAATCCCAATCCTGTGGTCCTCCTGTCTCTTTTTATTCTTTCCTACCACTTCCCCACAGAACTACAGGACAGGAATATAGAACAGAAGTTTGTCAGGCTTGGATCAAATCTGATCCAAAATCCTTCAGGGACAGACATTTAGCCTAGCAGTAAAGATGCCAGTTAAGACGGCCCCTCTGCCTTATCAGAATGCCCGGGTTCATGGCCGGCGCCACGGCTCACTAGGCTAATCCTCCGCCTAGCGGCGCCGGCACACCAGGTTCTAGTCCCGGTCGGGGCGCCGGATTCTGTCCCGGTTGCCCCTTTTCCAGGCCAGCCCTCTGCTGTGGCCCGGGAGTGCAGTGGAGGATGGCCCAAGTGCTTGGGCCCTGCACCCCATGGGAGACCAGGAAAAGCACCTGGCTCCTGGCTCCTGCCATCGGATCAGCGCGGTGCGCCGGCCGCAGCGCGCCAGCCGCGGCAGCCATTGGAGGGTGAACCAACGGCAAAGGAAGACCTTTCTCTCTGTCTCTCTCTCTCACTGTCCACTCTGCCTGTCAAAAAAAAAAAAAAAATTAAAAAAAAATTAAAAAAAGAGTGCCTGGGTTCAATACCTACCTCCAGCCCCAGACTCCAACTTCCTGCTGATACACACCCTGAAGAGGCAGTGGTGATGGCTCAAGTGATTGGATTCCTGCCACCTGCATTGAATTCTTGGTTTCTGCCTTTGGCCTTGGCTCAGTCTTGTGGGCATTAGAAGAAGAAACCCATGGATGGGAGATCTCTGTCTCTCAAAAGAATAAATAAGGGGCCAGCACTGTAGTGTAGCGTTGGCAGCCCATGTGGCCGTCAGTTCGAGTGCTGGCTGCTCCTCTTTCGATCCAGCTGTCTGCTGTGGTCTGGGAAAGCAGTGGAAGATGACCCAAGGGCTTGGGCCCCTGCACCCACATGGGAGACCCAGAGGTAGTTCCTGGCTCCTGGCTTTGGATGGGCTCAGTTTTGGCCTTTGTAGCCATTTGGTGAATGAACCAGTGGTTGGAGGATTTCTCTCTCTGTCTCTACTTCTCTCTCTCTGTGACTCTGCCTCTCAAGTAAATAAATGAACCTTTAAAAATGAAAACCTTTAAAAATAAAAAAAAGAATAAAAATTTTGAAATAACAAGAGACAGGGGCCAGTGCTGTGGCATAGAGGGTTAAGCCTCCATCTGCAGGGCATCATCCCATATGGCCACCAGTTTGCGTCCTGGCTGCTCCTATTCCAGTCCAGTTCTTTGCTATGGCAGTAGAAGATGGCCCAAGTGTCTGCGCTCCTGCACCACATGGGAGACCTGGAAGAAGCTCCTGGCTCCTGGCTTCAGATCAGCTCAGCTCCAGCCATTGTGGCTATTTGGGGAGTGAGCCAAGTGGATGGAAGACTTTTCTGTCTTTCCCTCTCCCTGTCTGTAACTCTACCTCTCAAATAAATAAATAAAATCTCTTTTTAAAAAGTTTATTTATTTTAAAAAAGACAAATTCATGGGTTGGACATATGATACAGATGTTAAGCTGCCACTTGGGACAGCCATATCTCATATTGAAATGCTAGGTTTGAATCGTCCACTCTCCATTCAGCTTCCTGTAACGTGCACCCTAGGAGGTAGCAGGTGATGATGTAATCAGTGGGATCCCTGCCACTCATTCGGGAGACCCAGATGGAGTTCCTGGCTCCTGGCTTCAGTGTGGCCCAGTCTGGCTACTGCAGGTATTTGGGGAATGAAGAGCGCCTGGAAGCTCCCTCTTTGTTTCTTTTTCTCTTTCTGCTTTTCAAATTACAAAAACAGATAAATAAAAATGCTTTTAAAAATTTCACATTTGGGGGCCAGCACTGTGGCGCAGTGGGTTAACGCCCTGGCCTGAAGCGCTGGCATCCCATATGGGCGCCGGTTCGAGACTCGGCTGCTCTGCTTCCTGTCCAGCTCTCTGCTGTGGCCCGGGTAAGCAGTGGAAGATGGCCCAAGTCCTTGGGCCCCTGCATCCACGTGGGAGACCTGGTAGGAGCTCCTGGCTCCTGGCTTCAGATCAGCACAGCTCTGGCTGTTGCAGTCATCTGGGGAGTGAACCATCAGATGGAAGACCTCTCTTTCTCTGCCTCTCCTCTCTCTGTGTAACTCTGCCTTTCAAATAAATAAATAAATCTTTTTTAAAAAAAATTTCACATTTGCTTCAAGGTTTCTTTTTTTATAATAAAGTTATATGATCTCATTGCAAAATAGTCAAATGCAAGTACAGATATACATATTTTAATGTGAATATATGTTACTATGTTATATTGAAATACATATATTAACATAAAATTACTATATGTAAATACATCTGTACCTTAGTGACAAGTTCTGAGAAATGTGACGGTGATGTCATCATTGTGTAAACATGATGGAGCTATGTTGTAACAGGGCAATATGATCTCCTGGGACCAATACTTACTGTATATGCATTGTGCCAGTGATCAAAGTGGCTGTATAAAATGTAAACAAATGACAGGACCCTACAGTCCCACTCATTAGATTACCACAGGTAAATGTTTGGGATCTAGTCCACCACATTTAATTTTTAAAATAAAAATTGTGTCATACTATTCATGCTTTTCTGCAACTTGTTTTTACTTATTAATATTTATTTATTTGAGAAGCAGAGAGAGAGGTCTTCCATCCACCGATTCACTCCCCAGATGGCCACAACAGCTGTGTCTGGGCCAGGCTGAAGCTGGGTCTCCCATGTGGGTGGGAGGAACCCAAGTACTTGGGCCGTCACCTGCTGCCACCCAGGTGTATTCTCGGGAAGCCATATGGGAAGCCTGGAGAAGCCGGGACGTGGACCAGGCGCTGCAGGATGAGGCAGTGGCCTAACCAGCAGCGCCACAACACCTGCTCTAACGACATGTCTTTTTTTTTTTTAAGATTTATTTATTTGAAAGTCAGAGTTACACAGAGAGGAGAGGCAGAGAGAAATAAAGAGGTCTTCCATCTGGTGGTTCACTCCCCAGATGGCCACAACGGCCGAAGCTGCGCTGATCCGAAATCAGGAGCTTCTTCCAGGTCTCCCACGTGGGTGCAGGGGCCCAAGGACTTGGGCCACTTTCTACTGCTTTCCCAGGCCATAGCAGAGAGCTGGATCGGAAGAGGAGCAGCTGGGACTCGTACCACTGGTGACCATATAGAAGGCCTGCACTTCAGGCAGTGGCTTTACCCAATACACTACTGTGCCCCCTCAGGGCATCTTTCACTGTTTTCCCAGTCTCATTAGCAGGGAGCTGGATTGAACTGGCGTGCAAGCCTCTTGAGATTCTTTGGAGATAGCATTGTTTTATCTCTTTTGTTTCTCTCTTAAAAGGGAGACCCACATGTAGTTCCTGGCTCCTAGCTTTGGCCTAGTCCAGCCCTGGCTGTTGTGGGCATCTAGGGAGTGAACCAGTGGATGGAAGATTCTCTCTCTATCTGCGTGTGTGTCTATGTGTCTGTGTTACTCTGCCTTTCAAATAATTTTTTTTTTTTTTTTTTTAAAGAAAGCCTGATGCCGGCGCCACGGCTCAATAGGCTAATCCTCCACCTTGCGGTGCCGGCACACCGGGTTCTAGTCCCGGTCGGGGCGCTGGATTCTGTCCCGGTTGCCCCTCTTCCAGGCCAGCTCTCTGCTGTGGCCAGGGAGTGCAGTGGAGGATGGCCCAACCCCTGCACCCCATGGGAGACCAGGATAAGTACCTGGCTTCTGCTATCGGATCAGCGCGGTGCGCCGGCTGCAGCGTGCCGGCCGCGGCGGCCATTGGAGGGTGAACCAACGGCAAAGGAAGACCTTTCTCTCTCTCTCACTGTCCACTCTGCCTGTCAAAAATAAATAAATAAATAAAAAATAAAAAAGCCTGACTTGGATTCCTGACTTCAGCTCCTGCTAATGAGGATATTGGGGAGGCCACAGTGATGGCTCAAGTGGCTGGGCTCCTGCACCCATGGGAGACCTGGATTGAGTTCCTGGCTCTCCACTTTGGCCCAGCCCAGGTCCATCCATTGCAAGCATTTGGGGAGTGAACTAGCAGATGGGATCTTGCTGTCTCTGTCTCTCCATGTCGCTCTGCTTCTCAAAACACAGACATTAAACATTAGTCTTCCCTGCTAGGTCCTCAGCTCCTAAGACCTCCATGATGATGGAGGGTCACCCAGTAGGTTTCATCAGGACAAAGCTAAGTGGGAGACCCCTTTGTTTTTTTTTGTTTGTTTGTTTGTTTGTTTTTTTGTTTTTTTGGTGGAGGAAGGAAAGAATAGAGCCAGTTGAATGGGTATGTTTGGGGAAGTGGTCAGTCCTCGCCGGGCAAGAGTACCAGAGACCCTAGCAAGTGCATTTTCTTATTTCGTCTAGCTACTCGCTACCTCTAACCCACCCCGGGACCCCTCACCCCCCATCACGGGGCACTAGACCTGTCTTCCCCGTACTACAAGGGACGGAAAGGGCAAAGCTGGAAGGCGGAGAACTGCAGCTTGTCTTGGTACTGCTCTCAGGGTCCCCGAAGAACTGCGCCTTTAATAATCCCGCAGAAGGCGGCATCCTTTTTTCCCCCTAGTAACCAACGCGGCATGAATTTCCAAGTCCGTTTTGTTGTCTAGTCTAATCCTCTTCTCTTAAATTTCAACTCTTGCCTGAGGCCAGAAGACGGATGGGAGGAGGCAGGGGGCTGGCTTTCCCGAGAGCGACTAAGCGACGGGTTACTAAGGAACTCAACTCTGGTGGAAAATGAGGGAACCCGCGCCCCCAAGAGGCCCTACCACCTGGCGCGCAGACCGCCCCCACCACCAACACGGCGGCGGCGTCACGTGACGAGCGGCGCGGCCGAGACTACAACTCCCAGCGCCCCGCGCGGACCGCGACGTTACGTAGCCCTTGCTGATTGGCCACCGGCGATATTTGAAAGGAGGGGCTGGCGCGGAAAACGAAGGTTTCCTTTGGATCTTGGCGGAGCGCTCAGACCGCCGCGTTAAGTCCTGGCCTGAGCCGGAGGGAGGCTTGTGAGGCGGTGGGGCCCGGGGAGACTGGCGAGCTGTGCGTACGGGCCGAGGTGAGTGGGGTCCGCGGCGCTGGCCTGCGGCAGAGGCGGAGGGTCGGGAGGCCTCAGGCCGGCGCAGGGAGCGCCGAAGAGCTTGGCGGAGGCGTCCGGGTGGGACTGTGGGCCGGTGGGCTAGCGAGGAGCGGGATCGGTGTGGAGGGGGAAGAGCGGAGACGAGAGTTGGCGGCGAGCGCCCTGCGTCCCGGCTGGGTTTTTTCGCGAGAGGACTTCTGATGAGATTCTCCGCCTCCTTGTCCCACGGGCCTCGGAGCGCCTCGCCGGTCCTCGCCGCCCGCTCCACCATGACTCTTCCTGCCTTCTCTGGTTACCTGCCGTCTTTTCCCTAGCTCTCCGGAGCCATGAGGAGCCTCAAAGGAGCCGACTTCGGGGCCCTGCTGAGCAGCCAGAAGGGAGCTGCGGAGTTGCTGCCTGACTTGAAGGTGCGCGAGCCGACTGCCCCGAGACACACGCCTGGCCTTCAGAGCCGGCCTGTTAGACTCGTGTTTTGCCTTTATTGATCGCTATTTCTGAACTGTGTTGTTGTTAGGCGGGTGGATGGAGAGACTGGGCTGGGTGGCGGGACGCTGGCGACTGGGAATACACTGCAGATCTCCTGCGTGAGTGGCAGGCACTCTATGACTAGGCCATCACACCACCTCCCAGGGTGTCCATCAGCAGGAAGCTGGAGAGCCCAGGCTCTCTGATGTGTGTCTGTCTTAGCCAATGGCACAGCCTCTGGACCAATGCCCACCTGTCGCTTTGCCTTTTTTTTTTTTTTTTCCTAAGATTTATTTCTTTGAAAGGCAGAGTTAGAGAGAGAGAGGGAGAGACAGAGAGAGACAGAGGTTTTCCATCCACCGGTTCACTCCCAAGTGGCCACAACGGCTGGGGCTGGGCCAGGCTGAAGCCAAGACCCGAAGCTTCTTCCGGGTCTCCCACATGGGTGCAGGATCCCAAGCACTTGGGCCATCCTCTGCTGCTTTCCCCAGCGCATTAGTAGGGAGCTGGATGGGAAGTGGAGCAGCTGGGACTGACCCAGAACCAAACCAGTGTCCGTATGGGGTGCCAGTAGTGCAGGCTGTGGCTTAACCCACTACACCACCACGCTTTGCCTTATTTTGAAGAGAGAAATACATAGGAGACCCTCTAAAGCAACTCTATTTCTGGTTTCTTTCCTTGCCTCTTCTCCTCAAGCCCCATGCGTGTTTCTCCTTTTAGGAGTTCCTGTCCAAGCCTCCAGCTGGTTTTCCAAGCTGTCGATCAGATGCTGAGAGGAGACAAGTTTGTGATGCCATCCTAAGGGCTTGCAACCAGCAGCTGACGGCCAAGCTGACTTGCCCTGGGCACCTGGAGAGCCTGCTGGCGCTGGCAGAGCTAGCTTGTGATGGCTACGTGGCATCGACCCCCCAGCGCCCTCCCCTCTACCTGGAACGAATTCTTTACATCTTACTGCGGAACGTTGCTGCACAGGGAAACCCGGAGGCCACGCTCCGTCTCTCCCAGCCCCTCCATGCCTGCTTGATGCAGTGTTCCCGCCAAGCTGCACCCCAAGACTATGAGGCCGTGGCTCGAGGCAGCTTCTCTCTGCTTTGGAAGGGAGCGGAAGGCCTGCTGGCACGGCAGGCTGCGGTTTCCGCTCGGCTAAGAGCCTTGAGCTTCCTGGCGCTCTTGGAGGATGGAAGTACTCCTTGTGAGGTTCCTCACTTCGCCTCGGCCACAGCCTGCCGAGTAGTTGCTGCCCATCAGCTCTTTGATGCCAGTGGACATGGTCTGAACGAGGCGGATGCGGAGTTCCTGGGTGAGCTGCTCTCCAGGCATGTGATCAGATCCTTGGTGGGTGAGCAACAGGCCTCTCCTGGTCCTCTCTCTCCCCAGAGGGCCCTCTGCCTCTTGGAGCTCACCTTGGAACACTGCCGGCGCCTCTGCTGGAGCCGCCACCATGACAAGGCTGCCGGTGCGGTGGCGAAGGCTCAGGGTTACCTCAGGAGCACCAGTCTGGCTCCCAGTCTCCAGCTGTGCCAGCTGGGGATCCAGCTGCTGCGGGCTGGGGAGGAGGGGCCCCAGGCAGCGGCCGCGCTTCTGACCAACGCGTCCGCCGTCCTGAGGAACAGTCTGCAGACCCCGTCGCCCCCGCTGCGCGCCCTGTACGAGAGCTGTCAGTTCTTTCTGTCGGGCCTGGAGCGAGGCACCAAGAGGCGCTACGGAGCCAATGCTCTTCTGAGCTTATTTGCTTTTCTTGGAGAGTACCGCTCCCTTATCCGGCAGCTGCGGGATGGTGATGTGAGTTACGGGCCTGGCGGTGGGCTGGGTGTAGTCCTAGGGACTCAGCTTTGGTCTGGGGTCTTTGGCACAGCCTCAGAGCCTGGCTTCTCCTTGGTAAGTTGCTTCCTAGACCATGCCTGGTCGGCCAGCAACGCCCTAATTCACCCTGAGAGCAGCAGGTCCTTTTTTTTTTTTTTTTAATTTATTCAAACACAGTACAGAGGAATAGAGGGTGGGATTCCTCTTCCATCTGGTGGTTCACTCCCAGCTTCAACAGCCAGGTCTGGGCCAGGCCAAAGCCTGAAGCCAAGAATTCCATCCACATGGTGGCAGGGACCAGTCTTACGCTTGGAGCTCACTCTGTGCGCCTCCGAGCAGCCTCCCCGTTCCTCCCTCCCTCAGGTGTGTAGGGACTCCCCCAAGCAGCAGCAGTCCTTGCTTCAGACGCACTTTCAGGGCCTTCACCTCTACACTGTGGTGGTCTACGACTTCGCCCAAGGCTGTCAGGTACCAGGATGGGGTCCTGCCCCCAGGGCTCTGGGGTTGCTCTGGCTTTGTGCATGGGGAGGGGTGGAGGAAAGCTGCAACCCAGCACGACCACCTCCTTTCATCCTCAAGGCCCTCTTGTCTCTCCAGGAGGCTGACTTGGCTGAGCTGGCCCAGCTCGTGGAGAGCTGCAGATCTCTCGTCGTCTGGATGCTGGAAGCCTTAGAGGGGCTGTCAGGCCAAGAGCTGTCTGACTACGTGGGGATGACTGGTTAGTGGCCGGGGCCCAGGTGCAGGGTTCTTGGCGGGGGGGGGGGGGGGGGGTCGTCACTCACTAGGCAGGTGTTCAGCACTTGCTGGCTGGTTCTGACGCTGTGGGCTCCAGGTGGCTTATGGAGGCAGTGGAAGAGATGCTTCTCCGTGTCATTCACTGTGTGTTTCACAGCAGTTGAGAAGTGATGAGGCTCACTTACAATAGCAGGCACTACTAACTTGTTTTTTTTTAATGCTACTGATTTCTCAAAATTTTTATTTAATTGAAGGCTGAGAGAGACAGAGATCTTGTATACGCTGGTTTGTTCCCCAGATTCCCACAACAGCCAGTGCTGGGCCAAGTCTAAGCCAAATCTGCTACCTCAATCCAGATGTCACACATGGGCATCAGGGACCAAGTATCTGGGCTATTGTGTGCCGCCTCCTAGGGTGTGTGTTAGCAGGAAGCTGGAATCAGAAGCGGAGCCGGAACTCAAACCCAGGTGCTCCTGTGTGGGGTGCAGGTGTCCCAAGTGGTATATTAACCACTGTGCCAAGCACATTCTTCTCATTGACTTTGAAATCTGAATTGGTATTTATTTCATGGAAATGTTTCTACCCAACACGCAGCTTCATGATTTTTCAATATATTTATGTATTTTTAAAAGACTCATACATTCATTTGAAGCGGACAGTGAGAGGGGGAGAGAGATCTTCCATCCACTGGTTCACTTCCCAAATGGCAGCTGGGACTCAAACCAGCACTCCAGGGTGGATGCTGGCACTGCAGGTGGCAGCTTCCCTAACGACAGCCCCTTATATATTTAAATTTGAAAGAATGTTTACAACTTAAAAATTTAAAAGCCAGGTAAAAGCATTTATGTGAATCAAAATTTAAATTATGCAAAAAGCCCACAGGGAAAAGTCTTCCACCCCTCCTCCTAGTCACCCAAATTCCTTCTCCCAAGGCAACCAGTGTTCATTTCTTAAATGTCCTCCAGAGATGTTTCATGTCTATATAAGCCAGCATCCGTGAATACCGTTTCCCACCCTTTTATGTTGAGATACACACGCAAAAAGTGCATGGATCCTAAGCATACAGCTTGATGGAGTTTCACAAAGTGAACACACTTTGTAACCAACATGTGCACATCGCTTATATCCCAGAACCCCTCCCTGTGTGCCTTTGCCTCCAGCAACCACTATCCTAATAGCTTTGCCTATTTTTGTGCAAAAACTATGGCCCTTTGATTTATATCACATGCTCCCCAGGAGTTTAGTCATGCGAAGGCTCTGGAGAATTTTTATGTTCTCAGTGGTTGAACCAGGCCATAGATGAAAGTATGAGGAGTCACAGAAATTATGAGTATGAGAATTCTTGCCACAGAGTCCTGAAGAGCGACTGTTTTCCCCAGCCATCGGCATTGCTAGCCAGAAAGCTGTGTGAATGGGTTATTGGAAGGAATTCACTCATTTAACAAATATCTGCCGAGTACCCGCTGTGTGCCGGGCGGTGTTTTGAGTGTTGGATGTGTCAATAAACACAGATCCGTCCTGTTCCAGAGCCACATTCAGGTCTGGGGGGAAGATGGTAAACAATAGACTCCGGAATCGGTGGGTTCTCAGCATGTTGGGAAGTGGGGGGAGCAGAGCCAGGTGTCGTTTTGTGTGGGGTGGTCAGGGGAGTGACACGAGGAGCTTAGCCGTGTTGATAGTGGGGAAAGAACAGCGCATGCAGGCCCTGGCTGGAATGTTGGAGAAACATCCAGGAGGCTAATGTGGGTTCCCTGGCATTAAGGAAAAGAGGTCAGAGCATTTGCCTCAAATGGCGACCTGTGCAGCACTGTGCAGACAGACTGGCATGTGAGGAGAGATGGGCTCTACCTGGGAGTGCAGCGCCAGCCTTTATGAAACAGGTGCCTGGGGGCGGGGGGGGGGGGGGGGCTCGCCTCCCTGGAGTGGAGGGAATTGGCTGACTCAGAGCTCGTGTAATCCACTGAGTGGACCACAGGTTGAGCTTCTCTGTGCTGCTCAGCCAGAGAGGGTGGGAGGACCCGTTCCTATGGTTCCTTCTTGTTCCCTGCAGCCTCAGACACCAGTAACCTGGCCTACAGCTTCTACTGTCACAAGCTCTACTCTGAGGCCTGTGCCATCTCGGAGCCACTGTGTCAGCGCCTGGGCCTGGCAAAGCCAGGCACTTATCCCAACGTGCCTCCTGAAAAGGTAGGAGGGAATGCAGAGGGCAGCAGGGAGGTGAAATGAGCTTGAACCTGGCCGGGACCCCACCTTGGAGTAGCGTGTTAGCAGTTGTGTTGGCATCAGTACCTGGGCCAGCGTTTCTGTCACCTGTACTGTTACTTAATATTTTTCTTTAGATTGACTTTTTTTAAAGATTTATTTGAAAGAGTTAGAGAGGAGAGATAGAGGTAGAGGTAGAGAGAGAGAGAGAGAGGTCTTCCATCAGTGGTTCACTCCCCAGATGCCTGCAAAGCTAGGTCTGGGCCAGGCTGAAACCAGGAGCCAGGAGCTTCTTCTGGGTATCCCACTTGGGTGGCAGGGGCCCAAGGATTTGGGCCATCTTCCGTGGCTTTCCCAGGCGCATCAGCGGGGAACTGGATAAGAAGTGGAGCAGCTGGAATGCAAACTGGCACCCATAGGGGACGCCAGCATTGCAGGCTGGTGGCCTTATGTGCTGTGCCACAATGCTGGCCCCATATCTGAATACTTTAAAACCTGCCCCAGGGGATCCTTTGTGCAACTAGGGTGAGACCAAGCATCTTAAGCAAAGCTACCTGTGAAACGCTGGCCAACTGGGTTGGCAAGCAAGATGAGCCTGAGAGGGCCTTGGGTTTCATCCCGAGTGAGGGAGGGAGGAGCCTCTGAAAGGCTGGGAGATGTGACATGGGCCTCAGCTGGGCATCTTGGACTTCCCCGGCATTACTGGTGAGCAGGGTGCCAGGGACAAGCCTGGTACTGAGGCTGCCATAGTGGCCCAAGAGGAAAGGGTAGGCGGGGCCAGGACACTTGCTCGAGGGCTGGAGAGAGGTCAGTGGTGTGAGAAGTCGAGGACTGACCTGGTCAGCGACTGGCTGGGACGGAGGGAGAGAGGAGTGTCAGGGATGGCCCCCATCTCAGTCCCAGGGAAAGGCAGTGCCGTCTGCTGAGAGGAGGATGACCGGAGGAGGAGCGAGTCCTCAAGGCCATGGATGGTGACCGGGAGGGGAGTGTGCGATGGAGAGGCCCTCCAAGATCGAGGCACCCAAGGTGTTTAGTTCCTAGGTGTCTTCTGCCTTGGGCTGGGGGACGGATGGGGACAAGGGGACCACTTGCTGGCCCCAACCATGCGGTGTGGGTACCCGTGATGCACGTGACCTCTCACCTCACATACTCACTGCCTCCTCTCTGGTTTGTCCCATTCCCTTTCTGTGGTCAGTTGCACAGGTGCTTCCGGCTGCATGTGGAGAGTTTGAAGAAACTGGGTAAACAGGCCCAGGGCTGCAAGATGGTGACCTTGTGGCTGGCAGCCCTGCAGCCCTGCAGCTCTGAACACATGACTGAGCCAGTCACTTTCTGGGTTCGGGTCAAGATGGACGCGGCCAGGGCCGGAGACAAGGAGCTGCAGCTTAAGTGAGTTGCAGGGAGGAGCATGACTGGATTTCCCCTGGATGGGGGGGTTTGATACCTGTGGTCCTTCTTTCCATCCTGACATCTGGAGAGGTCGGTGATACCTTCACTCTTTGCTGTTGCCAACCACCGTGCCAGGTATTGGGAGTGTGGTGGCGACAGGCAGTGTTCTTAAGAGGGGAAGGCCTTTCTGAAGAAATGATGTGTGAGGGGAGCCCAAGGGTGGTGAAGGTCTCTGGGAGAGAATTCCTTGCAGAGGGAATAATAAATACGAGGCCCGAGGTGGGAACAGGCTAAGGAGCGGGCTGGAGAAAGCCAGCAGCTGGAGGGTGCTGGGAGCAGAGGCCCATCTCACAGGCAGGGGCAGGAGCTGGGCGGCGGCTCGCAGTGGCCAGCCCAGGACCACGTGGGTGACCTAGACCTCGCTGAGCTCCCTGCTGATGCTGAGCTGCCTTCTCTTAGGACTCTGCGAGACAGCCTGAGCGGCTGGGGCCCGGAGCCCCTGGCCCTCCTGCTGAGGGAGGAGCTGCAGGCTTACAAGGCGGTGCGGGCCGACACTGGGCAGGAGCGCTTCAACATCATCTGTGACCTGCTGGAGCTGAGCCCCGATGAGACGCCGGCTGGGGCCTGGGCACGAGCCACCCACCTCGTGGAGCTGGCTCAGGTGCTCTGCTACCACGACTTTGCCCAGCAGACCAACTGGTGAGGAGCAGTTGGGGGACCCTGGCTCCTCTCCCTCGCCCCCACCCCCACCCTTTGTGCAGCCAGTTTCCCTGACTACCTCTTTCATTTTCATTCTGGGGTCTCAGTCAAAGGGTGCGGCCGGCGCTGCTGTCCGGATGCAGGCTCTTCCTGGGGCCTGGTCTGAGTAGCAGGTCTGGCATGAGTGCATCTTCTCCCTACAGTTCAGCCCTGGATGCCATCCAGGAAGCCCTGCAGCTCCTGGAGGCTGTGCGGCCCGATGCCCAGGACGAGGCTCGGCTCCTGGACGATAAAGCGCAGGCCTTGCTGTGGCTCTACATTTGTACCCTGGAGGCCAAGATGCAGGAAGTGAGTGTGGTGCTGTGGGCGAGCACAGCTGAGCGCAGGCTTCTGGAAAGTCGCTCCCAACCCTGCTTTTCACCCTGCTCTCCCCACCCAGGGCATTGAGCGGGATCGGAGAGCCCAGGCCCCCAACAACCTGGAGGAATTCGAAGTCAACGACCTGAACTACGAAGAGAAGCTCCAGGAAGACCGTTTTCTCTACAGTAACATCGCCTTCAACCTGGTCGCAGATGCCGGTGAGGGTGGTGTGACCTCCTGGGAGCAGAGCAGGGATTCCAGGGATTCCCCAGTGTGGGACAGCCTGGCCTCTAGGGTGGGAGGGTGGCAGAGAGGGCAGAAGGTGTTACGGAGAAAGCCGAGTTCCCTCCAAACAGCCCTAGCTGAGCAAGTGGTCCTTTTCTTCCAACTTCATAGCGCAGTCCAAGTGCCTGGACCAAGCCCTGGCCCTGTGGAAGGAGGTGCTCACAAAGGGGCAGGCCCCCGCCGTGCGGTGTCTCCAGCAGACCGCGGCCTCGCTGCACATCCTCGTGGCCCTGTATCAACTGGTGGCGAAGGTAAGGGGCAGGTGCTCAGGGAGGCCCAGGCAAACAGGGCCAGCCCGCACCCCCAGCTCCCTCACCTCTTCTGGCCTGTGAACCTGCAGAAGAGAAGCCACACAGCCCAGACACCAGACGTCAGAGCGTCAGCTCTGTCTCCAGTCTCCCTGAACCTGAATCCAAGCCACCATTTGCTAGTGTGTGACCGCACGCTCCTTCTTAGCCTTCTGAGCCCAAGTGTCCTTACCTCAAGTAAAGGGAGGAGTAATACTTCCTCATGGCATGGTTAGTGTTCTGTGCCGTGATGCAGATGTTTTGTGCCACCTCGCCCAGCTCCTCCTGACCCTCGGCTGTCCTAGCTATGCCCACACAAATGCTAATTATCCAATCATTTGCAACCTATGTACCCAGAAACACATAGATGCCAGTTTTACATTTTCACATGTGATATTACTCCTAGAAACTCTTCTGTGGACCCCACACGAGAAAACTGAAAAAACAAATCGTACATAAAGGTCTTTTGTAGCTGGGAGCCTCAAAGCCGTCTTTCCAGTCCAGGCGGCCTGGGAAGGTTCCTTAGCCTCCACTTGCATCTTGCCTCTGTCATGTGGCTGTTGTGTGAATTCACACAACAGTGTAACCCCCATGGGTCTTAGTTTCTCGTGCCATGAAAGTGGGATTAGAGTTGCATGAAGATGAGTGGGGTTGCTGCAGTAAACCTCACTTGGTGTGTGGTTCGTGGTAATCACTCGGGATATCTTAGTTGTTGCCAATGACTGGCATGTAGGCTTGAAGACAGGAGTCAGCATGGTGGCTTGCAGGCTCCCTGAGGGTGGCTGATGGGTGCTCCCATCCAGACCCTGAGGTTGGACCACAGTCCATGGTTCCAGAAGCACCGGGAAGCAGGGGTGGAGTGGAGGCTCTCGCAGGAGCCGGGTGAACACGTTGCTTCTGCCTGGGCAGCCCCTGCAGGCTCTCGAGGCCCTCCTGCTTCTGCGGATCGCCTGTGTGACACTGGGGGACCACGCGAAGGCGACTGGCTCCTCCTGCCACCTCGCCCAGCTCCTCCTGACCCTCGGCTGCCCTAGCTATGCCCAGGTGAGTGCCCAGTCGGCTGAGCCTGGGGTTTGCAGGGGCACATGGCTCTAGAAGCCCCTCTTTGCTCCGAGAAGGCGGGAGACTGAAGAGCAGCTTGGCTGCCGTCTGCCGTCACGTCCACTGCAGCACTGCAAAGTGTGGAGCAGCGGGGGGACCGGAAGGAGGAGGTGTCTTTCTCCTTCCTGCAAAAAGCGCTGTTTAGGTCTCAGAGATTCGGCCCCAAGAATGTACTGCAAGTCCCGGGGCCCAGCTGACTGTCTCCGCCAGCGGAAGCTGTGGCTCATGTAGACTGTTGCGGATCTCCTAGTTGTTCTTGCCTCCTGTTTCTTCCTTTTCCTGACTCATGTTTTGACCACCTTCCCCGGAAGGCGCAGGTCTGATCTTACCCCTTTCCCACTAAGAACTCCGTCCTGGCTGGCGCTGCAGCTCACTAGGCTAATCCTCCACCTGCGGCGCCGGCACACCGGGTTCTAGTCCCGGTTGGGGCGCTGGATTCTCCTCTTCCAGTCCCGGTTGCTCCTCTTCCAGGCCAGCTCTCTGCTGTGGCCAGGGAGTGCAGTGGAGGATGGCCCAAGTCCTTGGCCCCTGCACCCACATGGAAGACCAGGAGAAGCACCTGGCTCCTGGCTTCGGATTGGCGTGGTGCGCCGGCTGCAGCAGCCATTGGGGGGTGAACCAACAGGAAAGGGAGACCTTTCTCTCTCTCTCACTGTCCACTCTGCCTATCAAAAAAAAAAAAAAAAAAGAAAGAAAGAAAAGAACACCGTCCAGACTCTGGGTTGCACAGCCTTCATGGTCTGGTGGGCACCCTTCCTGCTTTTCCTCCCGTGAACTGGTGCCACCCGTTACTTGGAATTCCCTGTGTGTGCATCTGCTGGTGGTCTTTGTCCCCCATCCTCAGTGTGCTTCCTGGTTCCCCTCCGCCCTGTTTGTCTTCTAGCAAACCTTTGTTTTCAAGGCTTAGCTCAGTTGCCGCCTCCTTCATTTTCTGCTCCCTCTTCGAGCGTAGAATCCTCTGCTCAGCGTTGGGTCCCCATGGCCCTGGAGAGCGCTCATGGTATTGGGTCACTGGTACGTTCACGTCCTCTGTCCCCACGCGTGCAAGCTGCCGGATGTGAGGTCGTGCCTGCTCTATTCCGCTTTGTCTTCCTCGTGATAGGTGAACATGTCAGCGAGTGAGTGAGTAGCTCCTAGTCTTCAGAAAGTTCGGGGAAGAGACATGCCCACCTCCCAAACTGGGTTTGATGCTGGACTCTGGCTTCTCACTTCAGCTCCCTGCCAATGCAGACTCTAGGAAGCAATGGTGATGGCTCAAGTAACTGGGTCCCTGCCACCCATGTGAGAGACCTGGATTGGGTTGTTGGCTCCTGGTCTTGGCCTGGCGCAGTCCTAGCTGTTGTGGGCCTTGAGGAGGGAACCAGTGGATGAGAGTACACTTTCTCTGTGTGTAATCTCTGCTTCTCAGAAAGAAAAAAAGAGTCCATGGAAACTTTTTATTGTGGAAAAATTGGAATGGATTCTAAAACTCTACACCAAAATAAACTTACCTTTTTAAAAAATAAACATTTATTTGAAAAGCAACGTGACAGAGAAAGGTAGGCAGAGAGATTTCCCATCTGTTGGCTCACTCCCCAAGAGGCCACAATAGCCAGGGCTGGGCCAGGCTGAAGCCAGGAGCCAGGAATCCGGGTCTCCCACGTGGGTGGCAGAGGTCCAGGTACTTGGGTCATCATTTGCTGCCTTTCCAGGCACATTGGCAGGAAGCTGGACCAGAAGCAGAGGCGAGACTTGATCCCAGACGGAGATCATCCACCTGCTGGTTCACTACCCAAATGGCCACAGCAGCCGGGCTGGGCCAGGCCAAAGCCAGGGGCCAGGTGTCCTGTGTAGGTGGCAGAGGCCCAAGCACTTGGGCCATTTTCTGCTTTCCCTGGTGCATCTGCAGGGAGTTGGATAGAAAGTGGAGTAGCCAGGACCCCAACCAGCCCCCCAAAACTTATCTTGTCATTGCATTCTCCCGCAAACTTTTGGAGTACCCTTGTGTTGGAAGTAATTTGATGTTAGTTGTGTACTTTACTTGGGGATGTCTGAGTCTGGCTGCCTTTCCTCCCAGTTTGCTCACCGCGCCTCTGATTGCTTCCTTAGCTGTACCTGGAAGAGGCAGAGTCAAGCCTGAAGCACCTGGATCCAAGCAGCGACACGCACCTGCTCCTCTCCCTGACCTGTGCTGTGCTGCGCAGCCAGCTCTCCTGGGCTCGCCAGGAGGTATCTCCCACTTTCCTAACCCCTGAAGGGCCTGGGTGGTAGAAAGGTGTCAGGAGTTTCTGGACCACATCTGGTTGCTGAGGTTTCCATGGCTCCAGGCAGGATGTCCATACCCTGAGAGACAGTGATGTTTCCCAGCCTGGCCGCAGTAGATTCTTTTCCAGTTTCCTCAGGGCCATGGGGGAACGTCTGCCCTGTGACCGGAAACTGGGAAGGCATTGGAGACCCAGGCTAGAAACCCAGTGGGATCCTAAAGGCCTGTGTTTTCTCTAAACTAGCTGTGTCCCTGGCCGCGCCTCCTGGCCACTCAGGCCTGAGCTCCCCCGTGTGATTGTTACCGATCCCCAAGCAGGTGGTTGGGCCAGATGCTCCCCCGAGCTTGCTGCGGCTCTGAAAGGCTCACCTGGCACTCTGCAGCTCACTTGCTTGCTTTCTCGCTCGCTCTCCCAGGTGACTGAGGGCATCTCCCTGCTGCTGTCCGTCCTTGGGAATCCCGCCCTCCAGAAGTCATCCAAGGCGTGGTACTTGCTGCGTGCCCAGTCCCTGCAGCTGGTGGCTGTCTACCTCAGCCTCTCCTCCAACAGCCTCTCCGACACCCTGCGGGAGCAGCTCTGGGCCCAAGGTGAGAGGACAGGGTGGACCGCCCTCCTTAGGCTGTGGGAGTAGTGTGCCTTGCTCCGCTGCTGCCATCTGTGTGGACTGGCCTCCCTTGCACCTGCGTGGAGTAGGCCTGGGGTCACCTGCTATTGGTGGGTGAATTACTGACTGCTTGGAATACTGGACTGAAAAGGATCCTGCGACCCCATGGCATCGCAGAGGGAGAGCGCTGCCGTTGATCAGCTCTGTGCCTCGGGGCAGAATGAAGAGAGCGGCAGCGTGCTCTGCCTGTCCCCGTAGCTGAAGGTGGCAGCGTCCTAGCTGCATCATCCTCTCTCCGCTCCGCCCCGCCCACTGCAGGCTGGCAGACGCCCGAGACGGCGCTCATGGACTCCCACAAACTGCTCCGGAGCATTGTCCTGCTGCTGCTGGGCAGCGACGTGCTCTCCGTTCAGAAAGGAGCCGTGGAGACAGCGTTCCTGGACTACGGTGAGACTGAGGAGGGCAGCGGTGCCCTGCAGGAGTGGGCAGCTGGGGTAGGGGCCGACAGTCGCATCTCCAGAGGATGCGGGCGATGAGCGACGGTGGTCTTCTCCTTCCACCTTGCTGCAGGGGAGAATCTGGTACAGAAGTGGCAGGTCCTCGCGGAGGTGCTAAGCTGCTCGGAGAAGCTGGTCTGCCGCCTGGGCCGCCTGGGGAGTGTGAATGAAGCTAAGGCCTTCTGCCTGGAGGCCCTGAAACTCACCACAAAGCTGCAGATACCACGCCAGTGAGTGCAGGGGATTCCGGCCCTGAGCAGCAGGTGTCCTTGGCCACGGATTTCCAAATGATTCTGAAGATTGCTCATTAAGAGGGGCTGGTGGGAGAAGGCCTCGTGTAGCTAAATAAGGGCAGAGTCAATCCAGGCGAGCTGTCTTCACTTCCTGTAGCATTCTTCTGTTCCTCAGGGTGTTCGTGTGCATTGTAAACCAACAGGGCACCCGTGTGTTTCCCTGAACCTGTTTGCCCATGGGGTCCTTTTTCTTCCTTTTTTTTTTTTTTTTTTTTTTTTTTTTTTTTTTTGACAGGCAGAGTGGATAGTGAGAGAGAGAGACAGAGAGAAAGGTCTTCCTTTGCTGTTGGTTCACCCTCCAATGGCCGCCACGGCCGGTGTACCGCGCTGATCCAAAGGCGCTGATCCAATGGCAGAAGCTTCTCCTGGTCTCCCATGGGGTGCAGGGCCCAAGTACTTGGGCCATCCTCCACTGCACTCCCTGGCCACAGCAGAGAGCTGGCCTGGAAGAGGGGCAACCGGGACAGAATCCGGCACCCTGACTGGGACTAGAACCCGGTGTGCCGGCGCCGCTAGGTGGAGGATTAGTCTATTGAGCTGCAGCGCTGGCCCCTTCCTTTCTTTTTTTCAAGATTCACTTATTTGAAAGACGCAGCAACAGAGAGAGAGGGATAGACAGAATTGAGAGAGATGTTTCTATCCACTGGTTTACTTTCCAAACGCCAAAAACACCAGAGTTGGGCTAGGCCAGGCCAAAGCCAAGAGCCTGGAACTCCATTCTGGTCTCCCTCATGGGTGCAGGGCCCAAGGACTTGGGCCATTTTCCACTGCCTTCCCAGGAGCATTAGCAGGAAGCTAGATCGGAGGTGGAGCAACCAGGACTCCTGCCAGTGCTCTGATGTGGGCTGCCCGAGTGGCAAGTGGTGGCCTAACCAACTGTGCCACGGGCCGGCCCCAGGGATCCTCTTGAGTTCCGCAGTTCAGGAAACCCTGTCCTGAAGTGCAGGGCTGAGAGAAGTGCGGAGGATCCCAGGGAGCCTTTACGTTGGTTTCGGGAGTGAAGGCCTTTTGGAGTCGAGGGAAGAGGTGGCTGGTTGGGGAAGGGGCAGGCAAGCAGAGGGCTCCACTGATGGCTCTCTCCCGCCAAGGTGTGCCCTGTTCCTGGTGCTGAAGGCCGAGCTGGAGCTGGCCCGCAGTGACGTCGACCTCTGTCAGTCGGACCTGCAGCAGGTGCTCTTCCTGCTCGAGTCCTGCACAGGTGAGCCGCAGTGTGAGGGCAATGCAGCTGTGTGGGGGCTCCTTTTTTTTATGAATTATTTATTTGAAAGGCACAGTTACAGAGATAGAGATCTTCCATCCGCTCAGTTATAGAGACAGACCTTCCCTCTGCTGGTTCACTCCCCAGATGGCCACAGTGGCTGAGGCTAGGACAGGCCAAAGCCAGGAGCCAGAAGCTGCTTCTGTGTCTCCCATGTTGATGCAGGGGCCCAAGGACTTGGGCCATCTTCCATTGCTTTCCCAGGCACATTAGCACGGAGCTGGATTGAAAGAGGAGCAGCTGGGACTTGAACCAGTGCCCATATGGGATGCCAGCATCACAGGCGGCAGCTTTACCCATTATGCCACAGCGCCAGCTCCTCTTTCAAATAAATAAAAATCTTAAGAAATCCCTGGGAAAGGCATGTTATGAAAATAAATGCATGAATGACAATTTTTTTTTTGCACCAAAACAATTCTTTTTAAAAATACTGATTTATTTATTTGAAAGGCAGAGCGATAGAGACAGGGAGAGAGAGATATTCCTTCCCCTGGTTCACTCCCCAGATGGCTGCAACTGCCAGTTCTGAAGCTAGGAGCCTGACACTTGATCTGGGTCTCCCACATGGGTGCAGGGGCACAAACACTTGGTCCATCTTCCACTGCCTGCCCAGGTGCATTAGCAGGGAGCTAAATCAGAAGTGGAGCAGCCAGGACTTGAACCAGTGCTCTGATTTGGAATACTGGCATCACAAGCAGTAGCTTAACCTGCTGCTGTACCACAATGCCAGCCTGTAAACTTACTTTTTAAATCCATTTTTTTTTTTTAAAGATTTTTAGTTATTTATTTGAGAGGCAGAGTTACAGACAGAAAGAGAAAGAGAGGTCTTCCATCTGCTGGTTCACTCCCCAGTTGGCTGCTACAGCCAGAGCTGGGCTAGTCCATAGTCAGGAGCCAGGAGCCAGGAGCTTCTTTCAGGTGGGTGCAGGGGCCAAAGCACTTGGGCCATTCTGCTGTTTTCCCAGGCCATAGCAGAGAGCTGGATCTGGAAGAGGAGCAGCTGGGACTAGAACCGGCACCCATATGGGATGCTGGCACAATAGGTGGCAGCTTAGCCCACTACACCAGCCCTTCCACAAGCTTTTAAAAATTATTTATTTGAGGGGCCAGTGCTGTGGCGCAGCAGATAAAGCCATCATCTGCAGTGCCAGCATCCTATGTGGGTGCTGGTTTGATCCAGCTCTCTGCTAAGGCCTGGGAAAGCAATAGAAGATGGCCTTGGGCCCCAGTACCTATGTGGGAGACCCGGAGGAAGTTCCTGGCTCCTGGCTTCGGATCAGCGCAGCTCCGGCTGTTGCAGCCAATTGGAGAGTGAACCAGAGGATAGAAGACATCTCTCTCTCTCTGCCTCTCCTCTCTCTGTGTATCGCTGGCTTTCAAATAAATAAATCTTTTAAAAAAATTATTTGAGAGAAAGATACCCCACACACATACACACACAGAGCTTCCATGTGCCGGTTTAGTCCCCAAATGCTTGCAACATCCAGAACTGGCCTAGGCTAAAGCAGGAGCCAGGAAACCAGTCCAGGTCTCCCATGTGGGTGGCAGGAGCCCCATGACTTGAGCCATCACTGCTGCCTCCCAGGGTCTGCATTAGCCAGAAACGGAGTCAGGAGCTGGAGCCAGGTATCAGACCCCGCACTCTGGTGTGGGCTGCAGGTATCCTAACTGGTGTCTTAACCACCAGGCCAAGGGCTGCCCTCTGCACCCCTCCCCCCAGCCATGAACTTGTCATCGTCTGCTTGGGTGTGTGGCGTCAGCCCCTGAGGTAGCTGAAGGCTCCAGGAAGCGCTTGCTACCATCTGCACTGCTTGTTCTCTCCGCAGAGTTTGGGGGGGTGGCCCAGCACCCAGACCCCACGAAGAAGATCCACCTGCAGAAAGGGAAGCAGCAGGCCCGGGCACCCCGTGCTCCAGTGCCCTTGGAGGAGGAGCTCTTCCTCAGAGGCCCTGCGCTCGAGCTGGTGGCCACGGTCGCCAAGGAGCCGGGCCCCGTTGCGCCTTCTGCCAACTCCTCACCGGTTCTGAAGACCAAGCCCCAGCCCAGCCCCGGCTTCCTCTCCCACGGCGCTGCCTGTGACTGCCTGCTCTGCGCCAGCCCTGTGCTCTCAGCGGTCTGTCTGCGCTGGGTGTTGGTCACAGCAGGGGTGAGGCTGGCTGCGGGCCATCAGGCCCAGGGTGTGGATCTGCTGCAGCTGGTACTGAAGGGCTGCCCTGCGGCCTCCGAGCGCCTCAGCCGCGCGCTCCAAGCCGCCTTGAATCAGAAAGCGCCCCCGTCCCCCGTCCCCAGCCTCTCGGATGAGATCTTGGCTCAGGCCTACACACAGCTGGCACTGGAGGGCCTGAAGCAGCTGTCGAGCAAAAGTCTGGGGAAGGTGTTCGAGTTGGGGCTGAAGTTTGTGGCAGTGCGGATACACCAGCTGGAGCCCTGGCGAGCCAACCTGCTCCTGATTCAGGCCCTTGCAAAGCTAGCCGGTCTCAACTGCTGCACTACCCAGCTTTTTGCAAACTCCTGGGGCTGGCAGCCACCCTTAGCTAAAAGTCCCCCGGGCTCAGAGCCTTCTAAGACTCAGAGCCACAAACATTCTGGACGGGGGCGCCAGCAGTCAGCCCCTGCTCCCGTGCCCCTCCATAATGCCGCTCAGAAAGGCCTGGAAAGTGGAGGAGCACCCTGTACACCTAAGCCTCCAGGCCGGGTCCGGCCAGCTGGCCCCCGGGTTCCTTTCACTGTGTTTGAGGAAGTCCACCATACAGAGAGCAAGCCCGAAGTTCCCCAGGCCCCCAGGGTACAACGGAGAGTGCAGACGCGCCTCAAGGTGAGGTGGGACTTGGCTGGGGGGGGGGGGGGATGTTTCTGGAAGAGAGGGCTCTGCAGAGCAGGTGCCCCGGGGGGCCACAGTCCTTGCCATCCACAGGATGTTCACGTCTCCCACAGCAAGACAAGTGCACGTCTCTGTTTCAGACGGAAGGCAGCTTCCTTAGTTCTGCAGCCCCTCTTCCTTTCACCCTGCCTCCCCACCTCCTGTCGCTCCTCCCACCCCACTGGCACTGCCCTGCTGGACAGTGGCAGGTGCAAAGCGGGGAGCTGATTGTTCAGTTCTCTGTGACGGCCAGCGCTGCCTGTGCTCCTACAGCACCACCTGCTGTCCTAAGGCATCCTGTCCCTGAAGGCCCCTCGCCCTCTCCCTCTCCCTGCCGTCTCAGGTGAACTTCAGCGATGACAGTGACTTGGAAGACCCTGTCTCTGCCGAGGCACAGCTGGCAGAAGAGCCTAAGAGACGGGGCACCTCTTCCCGGGGCAGGGGCCGGGGCCAGGCTCGGAAGGGCCCGGGCTCGAAGACGAATGCCCTGCTTGCCCCAGATAGTGCCCCTGGTCTGAGTGGCAGGACCCGGAGGGCCAAGAAAGCGGCCTTGAGACCGCATGAGGAGCAGGGCCCCGAGGTCATGAGGACCATTCCTGAGGAGGAGCTGGCTGACCACACCTTGGAACTGAGCTTCGAGATCCTGCGGGGCTCCGACGGGGAAGACTCGGCCTCAGGTAGGGCGGCGAGGGCCAGAGGCAGAAGGTGTGTGTTCCGGGGCTCGCCCTGGAGCCGAGGCCGAGGAGTGACTGGCACCCAGGGGTACAGAGAGAAGGTGCTTTGTTGGCCCCGAGGGACCCAGCTGTAGAAGGGAGAACAGCAGGGGCTGGCGGGAGGTGGAGACTGAATATTTACATTCTCCCCAGGTGAGAAGGCACAGGCCCCAAGGCCTGATGCAGCCATCGGGGAATGTGAGGTGCTAAGGCGAGACTCCAACAAGGAGGAGCTGCCCGTCCTGTGCCCGGACAAGGAGAGCGCAAAGGAACTTGGTCCCCGGATCCGACAGCCCTCAGGCCCTGTAGCCATTGGTAAGTGACTGACGGTTGAGGTTTGCTCGGATGGAAGGGCCTGAGCCTGTGTCTGTCCTGCCTGTGGTTCCGGCTTTGGCTCCCCCCCTGGATCCGGTAGCCCTTGAACCTGGGTTTGAATCCCGGCGCTGTCTACCAGCTGTGTGCAAGTCACTTGAGCTCTGAGAGTCTGTTTCCTTCCCAGTAGAGTGGGCTTCGGGGAAGGTACAGGGAGCTGCAGCCTGTGCGGCCCACCTGGCACTTGCTGTGCGTGAGTGGTGGCAGAGGAGACTGGGGATTCACCTGCAGCCAGTGTCCTGACCTTCTAGGTCTCTCCGCCCTGGACTCCCTGTGTGACTCCCTGAGCGTCGCATTCCGTGGGATCAGTCACTGCCCTCCCAGTGGGCTTTATGCCCACCTCTGCCGCTTCCTGGCCTTGTGCTTGGGGCACCGGGACCCCTATGCCACTGCCTGCCTTGTTGCTGAGTCTGTCTCCATCACCTGTCGCCACCAGCTGCTCACCCACCTCCACAGACAGCTCAGGTGAGTGCCCGCCATCCCAAAGGCTCGTGCTGGGGCAGCCTGTGGTGGGGAGGGGGTCCACACGGTGGAGGGGGGCTGACCCTCACCTGTGTTACTGCAGCAAGGCCCAGAAGCATCGGGGAGCCCTGGAAGTAGCGGAGCAGCTACAGGGCCTGAGCCTCCAGGAGAGGCCTGGAGACGCCCCCCTGGGCCGCGTCCAGCGCCTCTTCTCCTTCAAGCCTTCAGGCTCCAGCCACTTCCCTCAGCCGGAGAAGGAGCACTTTCGGGAGCGCCTGGCACTGCTCCCCAGTGGTACGGTGGCCAGCTGCTGGCCGCACTCTGTCTCTCGGCTTCTGACTTTGTATAGAGTTAGCAGCCAGTTCAGTGTCTGCCTTGAGGTGTGAGTGGTGTTGTCAGGGGGCTGCCCACGCAAGCATGAAATGGGTCAGCAGGCGATCTGAGCGCCTCTGTGGGCGGGGCTCTGTGGGGGTTGCTGTGAGGAGCACACAGAGCTGTTCAGGCAAGGCAGAGCGCCTTGAACCCCAGTGGCCAGGGAAGGCTCCAGAGTGGCCTTGAGTGAGGGACGGGGCTGAGTGGAGCAGACAGGGAAGGGGCTATCTTGGAACGACTGGAATGACTGTGTTCTGTGGCAGGGGTGACGGTGTGTGTGTTGGCCCTGGCCACACTCCAGCCTGGAACTGTGGGCGATACCCTCCTGCTGACCCGGTTGGAAAAGGACATCCCCCCAGTCACCATGCAGATCCCCACCGCCCACTGCAAGGTAGGACTCCTGGGCCGGGCCAGGCCCCTCGTCTCGCTGCTCGTGTGCCGGGCCTGGGGATGGAGAGGGGGCTGTCCCGCGGCAAAGCGGAGCTCTCACAGCCCCGCCTCCCAAAGCTTCCTCTGAGTTCAGCCCTGAAAGAGTTCGACGCGATCCAGAAGGAGCAGAAAGAGAACAGCAGCTGCACGGACAAGCGGGAGTGGTGGACGGGGCGGCTGGAGCTGGACCAGCGGATGGAGGTATGTGCCCTGGGACTTCTGGACAGAGGTCCTTCCACAAACACAGGCCTCCTGGGGAGGTCCTGGGGCACATTTTCAGATGCCCGCATCCCATGCTCCAGTGCCTGGGTTCTAGTCCCAGCTCCACTTCCAGGCCAGCTTCCTGCTTATGCGCACCCTAGGAGACAGCAGCCGATGGCTCAAGTACTTGAGTCCCTGCCGCCTACTTGGGTGTCCTGAATGAAGCGCCTGGCTCCTGGCTTCAGCCTGGCCTAGCCCTGGCCATAGGGTGATTTGGGGAGTGAACCACTGGATAGGAGATCGCTGTCTGCCTTTCAGACAAAGACACAAACAGTGGGCAGTGAAGGCTAAAGCCAGGAAGCTGACACTTAAGCTTTTTCTTATGTGTATCTCCCCCCACCCCGCCCAAAGATTTATTTATTTATTCAAAAATGAGAGCTAGAGAGAGGGGAAGAAACCAAAAGAGAGATCTTCTATCCACTGGTTCACTCCCCAGATGGCCGCAATCACCAGGCAGGGCCAGGCCAGGTCAAAGCCAGAAGCTAGGATCTCCATCGGGGTCCCCAGTGTGGGTAGCAAAGGCCCAAGCACCTGGCCCATCCTCCGCTGCCCCTCAGGCCACTAGCAGGGAGCTGGATTGGAAATGGAGCAGCTGGGACGCAAACGGCACCCAACCTTGGGAGCCAAGATTGTGGGTGGTGGCTGCAGCCACTGGGCCACAGGCCGGCCCCTTGTGTGTATCTAAACTTTGCATGGCTAGAGCCCTTTCAAGTTTGGGGCTGTTGTATATATCAAAATTTATTTATTTATGTGCGCTAAACAGCCTTGATTCTCCAGGAGTCTCAGCAAATGGCACAAAGATGAGCATGAGAAACCGGCTCCTCATCTCCCAAATGCCTCCCCCACGCAGGCTCTCATCGCTTCCCTCGAGAAGGCCGTGCTGGGCTGCTGGAGGGGGCTGCTGCTGCCGGTCGCGGAGGGGCCCAGCCTCGCCCAGGAGGCCGCCCTCCTGCTGGAGCCACTGCAGGAGTGTGGCTGGAAATACCCGGACCCCACTCTGCTGAAAGTGAGTGCAGAGAGCAGGGAACAGGGAGCAGCGGACACAGGGGAATCCGGCGCCTGCTAACCGCTGTTCCCCTGCAGGTCCTGCTCAGCGGGGCCGGCACCCTCACCCCACAGGACGTTCAGGCTCTGGCCGCTGGGCTGTGCCCAACCCAGCCGGAGCGAGCCCGGGAGCTCCTGAGTGCGGCCGTAGGACGTCTACAGGGCCAGACTGTCCCGAGCAGCAGGCACCTTGTGTTGGTGCTAGACAAGGTGGGAGCCGGGCAGGGGGCAGCGTCTGCTGGTTATGCCGTCTCCCGCTGTGTCCCTCCTACTGCTGGGTGCGCCTGGCCGGGGACGGTAACCTCCAAGTGCTTTTTGTGCAGGACCTGCAGAAGCTGCCGTGGGAGAGCATGCCCTGCCTCCGGGCCCTGCCGGTCACCCGGCTGCCCTCCTTCCGCTTCCTGCTGAGCTACTCCATCATCAAAGAGGTGGGCTTCAGGGCGGGCCCTGGGGGCTTGGCGGGGGGCACCTGAGGAGACCGGGAGACCCGAGGGGCTCGGGAGTGGGACAGACATGGAAAGGGGCGTGGGTTTGTTGGGGTCTGGGCTTCCTGGTGAGACCAAGGTCCCAATCACCAGTGTCTCCTCCCCAGTCCGGGGCCTCATCCGTGCTGAGCCATGGGGTGGATCCTCGAAGCACCTTCTATGTCCTGAACCCTCACAACAACCTGTCCAGCACAGAGGAGCAGTTTCGAGCCAATTTTAGCAGGTCAGGGGGAGAGGGCAGGAAGGGGGGGTGACATACAGGGGTGACCTGCCTTCTCCACACCCCCCTGACGCAGCCAAGGCGCAGTCCACTCTGCCCCCTGCCCCTCCGCCACCTGGCTGCTGTGTGCAGCTCCCCGTCCTCACTCCTGCCCTTTCTCTGCAGTGAAGTGGGCTGGAGAGGGGTCGTCGGGGAGGTGCCGAGCCCCGAACAGGTGCAGAGAGCCCTGACAGAGCATGACCTGTACATGTGAGTGCTGGGCGTGGAGGGGGAGGGTGGCCCCAAGGACGGGGTCGCCTTGAGACTTCAGAGCCTCTGGAAACACAGGCAGGGGCCTGGTCCTGCCAGGTCAGGGCTCAGCTCACTTCCTTCTGCCTTAGCTACGCAGGTCACGGGGCCGGGGCCCGCTTCCTGGACGGGCAGGCTGTCCTGCGGCTGAGCTGCCGGGCGGTGGCCCTGCTGTTCGGCTGCAGCAGCGCAGCCCTGGCTGTGCACGGAAACCTGGAGGGGGCTGGCATCGTGCTCAAGTACATCATGGCTGGCTGGTGAGGCTCGGGGGCAAGGCCGCACCAGGGCGCCGAGACTCCTGCTTCTTTCCTAGGGCGAACCTGAACCCTTTGGTGTGCCGCCTTCCTCCCCTCCTAGTTCCCCAGCATGTCTGGGCCTTTAACCCTTACCCACTGCTGTCCCCCTCCTGGAACGGAGGCCAAGGGTTCAGCACTCTCCGCCCACCCATCACCATCTGTCAGGCTTCCCTGTGTGTTGCCTGAGAGCCCTCACTTTGTCTTTCTTCTTTTTCCCAGCCCCTTGTTCCTGGGTAATCTCTGGGATGTGACAGACCGCGACATCGACCGCTACACGGAGGCTCTGTTGCAGGGCTGGCTGGGAGCAGGCCCCGGGGCCCCCCTACTCTACTACGTCAGCCAGGCCCGCCAGGCTCCCCGACTCAAGTATCTCATCGGGGCCGCGCCTGTAGCCTACGGCCTGCCTGTCTCCCTACGGTAACAGCTCGCAGCCCTGACTCGCTGGGAGAAGCCGTCTGTGACGGTTCCAGCTCTGCACTTAGGCTCAACCTTCCAGAGAAATATTTTACAGTGATTTTCCCCAGTGTTTTATATGAACTATTTCCCTTCAATTTAACCTTGTGTAATAAAGATATTATTTAAACTCAGTTGTGTGTCGTTTATCCGAGAATAGCTAAAGAGAAGACAGCTGTCCTTTTCCCACCCTGTAAAATGGGACAACTTGGGAAGAAAGGCCTGGCTGGGCCTCAGAGCTGAAGAAAAGGGCTATCATGAGGGACAGGTTTTTAAGATTTTTTAATTTCGGGGCCATCATTGTGGTATAGTAGGTTAAGCCTCTGCCTGTGGTGTCTGCATCCCATATGGGCACCGGTTCGAGTCCCGGCTGCTCCACTTCTGATCCAGCTGTCTGCTATGGCCTGGGAAAGCAGAAGATGGCCCAAGTCCTTGGGCCCCTGCACCCATTGGAAAACCTGGAAGAAGCTCCTGGCTTTGGATCGACACAGCTCCAGCTGTTGCAGCCATTTTGGGAGTGAACCAGATGGAAGACCTTTCTCTGTGTCTCTACCTCTCAAATAGGTCTTTAAAAAAAAAAATGTTTTAATTTATTTGAAAGAGGAGAGCGAGAGATCTCATCTGCTGGTTTGCTCCCCAAGTGACCACAATGGCCAGGGCTGGCCAGGCCAAAGCTAGGAGCTTAATCTGGGTCTCCCACACAAGGGCCTGAGGACTCAGGCTATCTTCCCATCTCCCACTGCTTTCCCAGGCACATTAGCAGGGAGCTGGATCAGAAGTGGAGCAGCCGGAACTCAAACTAGCACCCATTTGGGATGCTGTCATAGTAGGCGGCTGCCTAACCTGCTATGCCACATTTGCCCTAGCAGCTCAGGTGGGTGTATCCCACCTTGGAGTGCCTGGATTCAATTCCCATCAGGAATTCCGGGCATCCTAGGAAACAACACATAGACCTTGGCCTCCCAGGGCACACACCCACATGTAAGCCAGAACCCCAGGAAATAACCCATGTAGGTTCTGGGTTCCAAGGAAACAAGATGTGTTCATAGCACAGCACCTGGTTTGAGTCCCAGCTACTCTACATTTCCAATGCAGCTTCCTGAAGGCAGCAGATGATAACTGAAGTACCTGGGCCCCAGCACCCAATGCGGCCGACCAGGATGGCGTTCCAGGCTCCATCTAGCTAGCGCAGGTAACACATGCTACGGAGTACACCTTGTGCTATGCTTGTTGGCTGACTGGCTTTTTTTTTTTTTTTTTTTTCACAGTTCACAAAACATTTATTGTGTGACGTTCAGACTGTGGCTTTTTAATCCTCTCCACTTCCAGACTCTCCCCTGCGTCTGCTCCAAGCAGCATTTTCATGATGCTCCTCTGTGACAAGGGACAAGGGGCCCGACCAGCTGCCCCCCACCACGCACACAGCTGTCGGTCACTAGATTTACACGCTGCCTTACAGGATTGTGGCTGTGTCCTGAGCACTTCAGGATTTTCAACTTCCTGGAGGACAGGCGTCATGGCTTGCTACAACTTTATTGCACTAGGCTTAGACTATCCCGTGACTCTCAACACAAGGTGCACCTGAGCGGCTCCAGCGCCTCCCTCCCTTGCGGGTCATAGAGACGTCCGGCGCAGCGAGGCCGCCGGGCACGGCCATAGAGACGCGCAGGAGACGGCTAGAGCGTCGCTCACGCGGCCGGCTTCCTCTCGGCTACTCCTCCGTCCCAACATGGCGCAGTCGATCAACATCACGGAGCTGAACCTGCCGCAGCTAGAAATGCTCAAGAACCAGCTGGATCAGGTGGGGATGGAGCCCGAGCAGTACCTTTCGCGCGCTCCACATCCCGTCGGCCACACGCAGCCTCTCGCCCCCCACCCCGTTCCTTTCCAGTTTGAGCCGTTTCCCTTCCCCGGCTCCCAGGGTCCGCCCCTCTCGGGCCCCGGGTCCTCAGCCGGCCCTGCTTTCCCGTCCCGTGTAGGAGGTGGAGTTCTTGTCCACGTCCATCGCCCAGCTCAAGGTGGTACAGACCAAGTACGTGGAAGCCAAGGACTGTCTGAACGTGCTGAACAAGAGCAACGAGGGTATGCGGCGTAGGAGCGGGCAACGCGGGGACCGCGGCGGCGAGAGGACCGGGCGCTGCGCGCTGAGCGCCGCTGCACGCGCCCTGTGCATGCTGCCGGGCTCTGAACTCCCTTTACGGCTGCCAGCCTGCCCACGCTGTTTGTCTTCATTGCTTTCACAGGGAAAGAACTGCTCGTCCCACTGACAAGTTCCGTATCCTTTCCACTGGGATTGCTACCGCGCCGCCTCCCGGGGGCGGGGAGGACACCGTAGAACTCCCCCTTGATTTTTTTTTTTTTTTTTTTTTTTAATTTGAAAGGCAGAGTTACAGAGAGGCAGAGAGAGAGTGGCCTTCCATCCGTTGGTTAATTGCCCAATTGGCCGCAATGGCCAGTGCTGTGCCGATCCGAAGCCAGGAGCTTCTTCCGGGTCTCCCACACGGGTGCAGGGGCCCAAGGACTTTGGCCATCTTCCACTGCTTTCCCAGGCCACAGCAGAGAGCTGGATTGGAAGTGGAGCAGCTGGGACTCAAACCTGCGCCCACATGGGAAGCGGCACTGCAGGCAGCGGCTTTACTGGCTACCCCCTCCCCCCAGTGATTTTGAGAGGGCTCTTGTTGTACACACTTCGTAGCCTCAGGTCGACATCCAGCTCATGCCTTCTGAGTGCCAAGGGATATGGTATGTAGAGTTGTGGTCCCCCCCCCCCCCCATGCTGTTAGAGGCCATGAATATGAAGAAAAAGCTGATCTTCTTTTGCTAGTATTAAACAGGGAGGTTGGCTCTGTTCATTAACCCTAAATTTCACTTTCCCCGTGGCCCATTCCTCAGCTGCTGGAAGGAGCCTGGGTTAGGCTCACCTGCTGGGGGTTGACCTGGAATGAGCAGGTTCTGGCAGTGGCGAACCTGCGGTGCATAGCTGGCATTTGGGAAAGGGCACAGGAACGGCGGTGTAGCAGTGAATGGGCATGAGCCACTTCGTGATGGGGGACGATGAGGGGACATGAGGCTGGCTCTTCACGGGGTCCACTCCAGGCAGGGGGAGACCATCACCAAATCCAGTCTTTGCCGAGGAGTCCTTGGGAGGAGTTACAACAATCGCTTGGAGGGCGGGAGATGGAGTCGGGGCTAGAGTTCCAGCACAAGCCAGCTTTCTCCAAAAGGAGCCAGCATCTTTGCGGCTGCCTTTTGGGGGCTTCAGGCATTCTTTTCTTTTCTTTTCTTTTCTTTTCTTTTCTTTTCTTTTCTTTTCTTTTCTTTTCTTTTCTTTTCTTTTCTTTTCTTTTCTCTTTTCTTTTCTTTTCTTTCTTTCCTTTTTTTTTTTTTTTTTTTTTTTTTTTGACAGAGTTAGAGAGACAAAGGTCTTCCTTTTTCCGTTGGGTCATCCCCCAAATGGCCACTATGGCCGGCACACTGCGCCGATCCGAAGCCAGGAGCTGGGTACTTCCTCCCGGTCTCCCATGTGGGTGCAGGGCCCAATCACTTGGGCCATCCTCCACTGCCTTCCCGGGCCACAGCAGAGAGCTGGCCTGGAAGAGGAGCAACCGGGACAGAATCCGGTGCCCCAACCGGGACTAGAACCTGGGGTGCCGGCGCTGCAGGCGGAGGATTAGCTTAGTGGGCCGTAGCACTGGCTTTCAGGCATATTTCTAAGGCCTCCAGATTACTCAGTCCTTACCCCTTGTGGTTTGTTTTAAAAAAAAGACGGTCAGGGCCAGCACTGTGGTGCAACAAATTAACCCACGGCCTGCAGCACCCGCCTTTGTTGGTTCAAGTCCTGGCTGCTCCACTTCTTTAGAAAAAAAAAAGACATTTATTTATTTGAGAGGCAGAGTTACAGACAGAGGGAGTGAGAGACAGAGACTGGAAAGCCCTTCCATCCACTGGTTCACTCCACAATGGCTGCAACAGCCAGAGCAGCGCCAACCTGAAGCCAGGAGCTTCTTCCAGGTCTCCCACGTGGGTACAGGGGCCCAAGCACTTGGGCCATCCTCTACTGCTTTCCCAGACCACAGTAGAGAGCTGGATTGGAAGAGGAGCAGCTGAGACTTGAACCAGCACCCATATGGATGCTGGCTCTGCAGGTGGAGGCTTAGCCCCACTACACCACAGCGCCAGTCCTGGCCGACTTCTGATCCAGCTCCCTGCTGATGCGCCTGGGTAAGCAGCAGCAGATGGCCCAAGTGTTTGGGCCCCTGCAGACCCAGAAGAAGCTCCAGCCAGCTAGTTGCGGCCACTTGAGGAGTGAATAGATCTCTCTGTAACTCTGCCTTTCAAATAAATTAATTAAAAAAGAAAGAAAGAAGCCGTAGGAGGCCAAGCAGCTGGCCCACAGGGACTCGGGGCTCATGCTGGGCTGGTTCCCCTTAACCCTTGCCTCGCAGATGTACGTCCCTGGCAAGCTGCACGACGTGGAGCACGTGCTCATCGACGTGGGCACTGGCTACTACGTGGAGAAGGTGAGTGGGGCGAGGTTGGGGAAGATGCAGAATGTGGTCTAGGGTCTCCGGTTAGCCCCTCGTTCCCCTCTGGTCTTGCAGACAGCTGAGGACGCCAAAGACTTCTTCAAGAGGAAGATAGACTTCCTCACCAAGCAGATGGAGAAGATCCAGCCGGCTCTGCAGGAGAAGCACGCCATGAAGCAGGGTAAGCCCCGCCCAGCCCTGGCGGTGTGGACAGCCGCGGCGCCCCCTCTGCCCAGATCCCCGCGTCGGAAGGCCGTCCCGTCGCGGCTTGGGTACTGCTGGGAGGTGGAGTGAGGTGTAGGTAAAGGAACACACAGCCCGAAGAAGCAGATGCAGGCAACTGAAACCCTGGCTGCCTAGCAGGGTCACCCACTGCAGATCAACCAAACTCCCTGGAGTGGGGTAGGGCTTTGTCCCTGGGACCGGGGTCTCCTCACTCCCAGCCAGGACTGACAGCTGTGCTGACTGGGGCGGCCTTGCCACACGAGAACTTTCTGGTTATCCGCATGCATCGATAGTGTCCATTGTCACCCCAGTGACCGGCGCACTGACCCACACGTGGTGGACTCAAATGTTGAGTGCGCGCCCCCACAACGGCCGCGGGGTCC